GAGATCGGGTACACCAGAGAGGGACACCCCAACACCAGCTCACCCCGCCTCCCTTGCTCTGCGCAGCACAGCAGATCAGGAGGCTCCCAATCTAAAGCAGCTTGGCTCTCTTAAGTGTGGCTGCAGGGAGCTCAGCCCTGCTGCCCGCACTGCCTGGCTGCCGCTGCGGTTCTAGTGCTGGGGAGAGCTGGATTCCACGTTAATGTTTTGATTCCATGATTCTGTCCATGTTCTCATTAGCACAGATATCATAGGGCCCTATGTACATGCGACTGTCATTACGTGTAATCTGCCACGGGGTGGAGTACCTTGGGTACCGCTGCGGCCCCCGGAAGATACATGGAATGGTGGGGAGAGTGTAGGGAGGTTCATGTGACGGGGGCGGCTCTAGCTTTTTTGCCACCCCAATCACGGCAGGCAGGCCGCCTTTGGCGGCTTGCCTGTGGGAGGTCCCCGGTCCCGCAGATTTGGCAGCATGCCTGTGGGAGGTACGCCGGTCCCGCAGCTTCAGCGTACCAGCCGCCGAATTGCCGCTGAAGCCACGGGACCGGTGGACCTCCCACAGGCATGCCGCCGAAGGCTCCCTGACTGCTGCCCTCGCAGGGATCGGCAGGGTGCCCCCCGCGGCTTACCTCCCCAGGCATGCGCTTGGTGCACTGGTGCCTGGAGCCGCCGCTGCATGTGCTTATCTCCCACTGCCTCCCTACAGTGATTTCTCCCCACAGACAGAGACACAGACCCACAGCCTCCTCTCCCCACAGACCTAGGAGATCCACCCCCTTCCATGCAGTCCAGGCAGGCACCTGTTTGCTGCAGGGAGCCAGCATGCTCAGCTGGGCAGTAGCTATGTGAGCTCTCCACACCAAGCAAACAGGAAGAACAATTTAAAACTTCCTGGGGATTTGAAAGAGGAGGGGAGCATGCCTGTGTAGCTGGATGCAGGGCAGCGGAGTTCAGAACGGTGACGAGAGTGGTCACAGTGGGCATTGTGGGGTACCTCCTGGAGGACAGTTACAGTGATGTGCGGAACACAGTGTCTACACTGACACTGTGTCACACCATCTATGTCGCAAAAAGCTCTACGCCTCTTGCCAAGGTCGTTTTATTATGTCGGCGTAGCGGGAGAGTTAAATCTAGGGCTACCATATGTCCGGATTTTCCCAGACATGTCCGGCTTTTCAATCTATAAATAGCCATCCAGGGGGGATTTCTAAAAATCTAAAAATGTCCGGGATTTCCCCCGGTCGGCTATTTATAGATTGAAAAGCGGTGCCGCTGGGCAGCCAACGCCCCTTCCCGGCTCCCCCCATCCCCTGCAGCCTTAGCACGCCCCCGGCCCTGCAGATGTCTTCCCCCTCCTCCCCTCCCCTGAACGCTCCACCCCCTCTCCTCCCCCTCCCTGGCTTCCTGCGAATCAGATCTTCGCGGGAAGTCTGAAAACAAGCAGGGTCAGGCGGGCAGCAGCAGATAAGCTGGGGCAGGGGGGACACGAGGAGGAGGGCTCCGGGGAGGCGCAGCACGTCCCAGTCCAGCCCCAGCTGTGCACCTCCGGCCCCAGTCGGTCCCAGCGGCTCCGGCCCGGCCCGGCTCGGGCCCCGGGGCACCGGCCCCAGTTTCGGCCGAGGGCACTGGCCCGGCCCCGGCCGAGCGGCGCCGGCCGAGCACCCCTGACCCCGGCCCCAGCGGCTCCGGTTCTGGCCGAGCGTGCCGACCCCGACCCCAGCGGCTCTGGCCAGGCTCGGGCCCCAGGGTGGCCGGCCTGACCCCGGCCGAGCACCTCCAGCCTGGCCACAAGCCCCGTGACTCTGGCCAGAGCGCAGACTGATTCCTGGGCTCTTGTTAAAGCCGGCCCTGGTCAGGGGACAGGGAAGGGGGGTTGGATGGGTCGGAAGTTCGGGGGGGCTGTCAGGGGGGCAGGGGTGTGGAGAGGGGTTGGGACAGTCAGGGGACA